GCAGAATGCGTCCCCGGCGCCGTACAGCCCTGAACTGGCGAATGCGACGGACCCGGCGCGATGCGCTTCCTTCCATCCAAAAAGAAGAGTCCTCGCTTCGTCGTACCGTTTTGGCTTCAGTCAGGTGTCGAACTTGTCGCGCAATGTCGGGCCGGGGCCGCCTAGACAAGGAGCCGTTACCTTGACCAGGGTGACCAGGGGTTGGAGGGGTGGAGAGTGCATGCCGTCTTGCTCTGTAATCCCGCCTGCTGCGGGCCTTGAATCCAGATGCCGCGGCTGGCTCTGCGTTGGCGTGCTTGCTATGACCTGCAATGTCGCCACAAAGGATGCGCTGGCTGCTAAACTGGGGCAGAAACCTCGAGACATTCGTCGATTCGAGGGCCGGTCTGTGCGCCTGTGAGAAACTCATCCTCGAGACATTCGTGGACTCCGGGGAGCGCTTATGATCCTTCAAGGCCATGTGCACCCGAAAATGATCCCCCAAACACGAATTCCCACATCCAATTCGTCAAGAATTGCTCGGTCGGTTTGGATCCAATGAGCATGGAGAATATCAAGCAGCAACCAACATGTTCAAACAGGCGCACCAATCGTGAACTCGCGAAATCGCGCAAAGCAGCCTGAACAGTTTCCCTCCGCGGTTGTTAGTTTGAAGAGCAAAGAATAAAGTGACAGACACGGTGGAAAGCACCCGCAATTGCCCCCCTTCAGTGATGCAGCTGGTAGCAGATTGCATTTAGCTTAGGTATTGGAAACGGGAAATTGATGACGCTCATGTTCTTCCAGACAACCGGCCCCAGAAGATTGATGGAGACCAACCAGCTCAAGTGGTCCCTAGCCTCAATGTTCGAGATGTTGCTGCGCTCTTGCACTGTTCGGCCTGCGAGATCGACAGTTTGACATGGCAGGCTCTGCCCAAGGCAGATTCTGTGAGCTCCAGGTGGGAAGCTGTGCACTTCGTAGTACACTGCTGGCTGTCGCAATTACATTTGCCGCCGTTAGTGTTTCGTCACACTTTGTTGGGCGAGTCTCAGTTCAGGTTTGGGTGAACATAATTTCAAGCCCAATCCCCCAGTTCCCAGAAATCCGAGTAAAGCTCGTGTTTGTCGGATAGAAAAAGGAAAAAAGAGAGCCGGTTGAATGCTTTGATTTGCGACATTCGAGCCTGCACCCCGGAAGATCTTAAGCATGATGTCACCCTATGGTGACCACTCCCGACGGTGTGGTCCAGCCCAACCTGGTCTTAGAGTTCTGAAGCCATGCAATGCCATGCAAATGTTTGTTGCCGCTGTCGCAGTTGGAACTCTGCCGGAACATGGGAGGAGAAGGCAAGCTGTGTCGAGAGTTAGCCTGCCAGGCGACACTGCTTTTTCAGCGCCTGAGGACATGGGTGTGGCTGCCCGAACGGAGCTCGAGAAGGCAGCCTAGTAATCGTGGCTAAGAGTGCGACGCTTCACCGAATTTCCCCGCTGTGCAGATTTTGGGGGACGAGAACTCCTTCCTCCTCCAGCTGGATGACAAGAACAAGGTTGTTTATTTTGCAATGCCTCCCCTGAATGTGTCGGGCACCTCGCAGGTCCAGGCCACGAAGGTGACCGTGACGGGAGATTCATCGGCATATCACATTCGTGGAAGGCGTCCCGTGCCAACCCCTTCGTCGCACTGCATCCCAATATGTCAATGAATGCTCCTACTCTGTAGTCCGGTTTTGCTTCCGCCTCTAGCTTCTTTCCAGCCTTTGTGTTTCTGCCGTCCTTGATCTTCGAAGGGTATATAAGTAAGAAGTATTGATCGCTCGGAATATGCCATGCTCGATCTCCTGCAGAAAGGGTAGGGGCTAGCGCCGTTCTGTAAAGTTGCAGATGCAAAAACCGCGAAACGGCAGGCCGCGGCTTGGCTTCGAGTTCACTGTGCAGTCCTCAAGATCCCTTTTCAGGAGCTGCTCGCACCCTTTAAAAGTGTCAGGTGAAGCTGTCGTGGAAAGGCTTCTTCGACGGGGAGGAGGTCGTCGGCGAACTAGAAGTGCAGGACTTGAGTCACGGCATGGAACGCTGTCAGAACGGGGGAAACTGCGTGCTGCCAGGACCTGGACTCCAGTGATCTGGATGGTTTTGAGATCAGGTCAGCCCGAAGCTTCCAAAAGGAGCTTCCCTCATGTGTGGACTTGAAACGTCATTGTCGAGGCCAAAGCCAAAAGCAGGTGAAGCCTCCAAGCGTGCAGCTGCAGCGTTGAAAAGCGGCGCAAGGCCGAAGAATCCTGCATTTCGGAGGCTTTAGACATTCGTCGTGCCGCTGGATCAGAGCACAGGCCAGCCATCAAGAAGGCAGCAGAATTGTTGAGCCAGCGGCTGCTGGTGAGGCTCCGTACCTGTGTTCTCGCGTCCTCAGGGCAGTACTGACGTTGCAATCCGACTTTGCAGGTGACGAGTCGCGTATGTGACCCCTTGATCAGTTTGCACATGAGGACTACTTTCCAGTAGTCACAGAGACCAGCAGGTTAAACCAAGGAATTTGGCAAGCGGTAGTCAAAAAGCAATGAAGGTGTTCCAGCATGTGCACAGGGCAATCCTTTAAGTTTTGGCAGCAGCACCCTTGAACCTGTCACGGATCCACTATGTGCTGCAGGGAGGCTCAAGCTGGACAGAAGTTGTTCCCTGACCGATCTCACCTCTTCTTTGCCAAGATGATGTTCACTCCGCAGCAGCTTACTGGCGGGCCAAAATACCATCACAAGACGCGCATCGGAAACTGGAGTGAGGCTGGCTTTTGACTCGTGTTGCAAGTCATCTGCACTGCTTTTCTGGTCGTCTTGAGGACTTGGAACTAGAGGAGATCAAATTGAAAGACTACTTGAAAAAGAAGGACTGCCAGGGATTGTTTTTGCTTTCTTGCCAAAGGCATGCTCTTAAGACGCCTCCAGGAAACAGGCAGCCTCATTGTCACTGCTAAGCAGCTCGGAAGCATGGTTCCGCGTGCAGATTTTGGGGTTTCGAACGCCCGCAGACAGCAATCAGTATCGGCAAAGCCTCTACTCGTCCTCAACAGCCCTCCACCAACCATTCGTTTGTGTGCCATATCCTAGAACCTTGCATCACCAAGAGATGCCGGCTTTAGGCAGACACAGTGCAGGCATTTCGTGTGCTTCGAAACTTCTGTGTAGCTGCTGAATGCAGTCAAGCTGACCAATAAATTCTGATTGTCGTAAATGCCACCGCTGGACAGTTCCTGGCCGGACAAACTTGTGCTGGAACTTCGATCCGTTTCTTGCTTCCTTTTGGATGAGGCAGAGACAGTTGGAGTCTTCCCTTCACGCCGATGAGGCCCGCTGTGTTGCACAGGATTTTATGAGGAATTCTTCTTCGCTTGCAACACAGAAGTAGTTGGAGAAGTTAGTCAGACACGTGGGTAGTTCTCTAAATTAGGATCCCTGTTTGGGGTCCTATTTATAAGGGGTGCCGTACTATATTTGGGACCGAAAAAGGGATTTAGAGAACTACCCACGTACGTCATGTGCGCACGTGCAAAAATTGCAAGCTGGCAGTTGTCTTCATCGCCCGACGGATTCCTTCACTTCGGCATGAAAGTCATGCTGGTGAACCATCAGTCCAAGGGCGTTCTGCTGCGGCCTAAGAGTGTGAATCTTTATGAGTTTGCATCTCGGGCACCCTTTGGAACCTTGGAGCAGGAGCAGGGAAGTACCTGTAGCGGCCTCAGGAGCGCGAACCCGTACGATGTTGTCGCCAAGTCCTCTCCGGCCGGGGTCTTAGTCAGACCCTCTGACCTTGCACTGATGCGCAATGAGCGTAATGAGCACAGGCATATATGATCACCTCCAGCCCCGTCGGCAGCCCGTGCGTGCGAAATGTCTTCGTCATCGAACGTGCCGATCCGAAGGATGGCCTGGGATCCCAGGAGGTCTGTTTAAGTCAGGATCCTTCAGAGAAAGTGCTCTCAGGCTTCGAGGATGACACAGTGCACTACGGTCAGAACATTCGCATCAAACTGTGCCCCTTCTCAGAGTCTGCAGCTCGGCTTTGTGCCGCACCTATGTTCCACTGGGTGGCGGCCCGGTGTTTTTTGGCAGGATCAAAGCCGATGCTTACCTGCACAGCGAAATGGTCACCGGACTGGCAGCTGCAAAGTTCTCCAGGCCGCGACATTGCTTGTAAGGTTTGAAGTCAGCATCAGATTCTTTCTGGCCAGGCATCAGGAAGTGACAGCCCTGACTGCACCCAGTGGGGAGACGCTTTGGCAGGCCCTTATATAATATAGTCGGAGGACACCCTCGTGGGATCGTGGGATGAGTGCTATTGTATTGTGAGGCTCTCTTTCCAGACACGCAGGCGAGGTTTGAGATGGATGGTGAAGCAGTGCTCCGTCCAGAATTCCAGTCTTTTCTGTGGTGCAAGTTCTTTTTGATTCAGTCCCTGCGAAGACAGGTACCAGCAGGAAGTCCGCTAGTCCTTCGTCATGTCCAAACAGGCGAGTTCGGGATCAGAGCTCTTCGATTGCCTGAATCATCTCGACAAGTTTCGGATGTGGTCGAGAGGCTCTTTTCTGGCTTCTGACGAGATCCCTTACCACAATTTGTTTGGTGTCGAATTTGAGGCCGGATTGCTGCTTAGCACCCTTGTGGGCAGTTGTCCTCGCTGGCTGCACCTCCAGGTCCACTGCTTTCATTATTTTTCCCTGGGCAAGTCCCAGAACCTGGTTGGAGAAATGAAGGGCGAGATCACCGGGCAATTCTCTCTTGTTACAGAGGGTCCTTGCAAATTTCGCATCGTATTGGTGCCTCCCGTTCCTGGCACATCAACAAGCATGACAGGGACTATGCCCTCCGAAAGCATGGCTTGCCCAACATTTGGAGCATGATTGCCGACAGCGGTGAGATGGCCATGGCCTGAGGTGCTTGCAAATCGAGCTGGTACTTTGTTTGCTGTGTTGTAAGGAGGGAGACAAGACCGTGGCACCGGAACAACCCTGAGCAAAAAATCGCGAGCCTCATCTGAGTTATGGGGACTGCGAATTCACCGAGCATCTTATCTTTGTCAACGTAGTGTGCCTGCTGTGTTAACTGGAGGCTCTCGAATTCGGCAAGCTGAGTCGGAACAGCGAATTCAGATGTACCGACAGGCTACGCCAACCAGAAATGGAGGGCCGAAGTCTTTGGCCCCCCTACAGCAGCACAATGAGTACGTCTCACAGTCTCACAAGTAGCTGGACATCACAAGATCGCCTGTTTCCGACAAAAACCACACAGGGTGTCGCTTCAGCGGTGCTCATGTTAGATTTGATTTAAAGTTGATTCATCGACGGTGCCGTTCGGAGACCGCTGTTGCACTCGCTCTGGAACTGCCATCAGCTTAGCATGGCTTTCGAAGCGTTGTGAACAAGGGTCGGCTTCGGCTCAGCTTGACGTGTGCTGTAAAACACTAGCACATGCAGTTTCATGACTGCACTGCGTGTTCTTGTGCTGGTTCGGGCCCCAGTTGTTTGAACGGACATGGTGTGCACAGGGCATGGGAGGTGTATGTTCACGAATAAGGTGGTGATCGCCGCCAGGCTCCGAGGCATCAACTCTTTGGATAATGGATACATGGCTGTTGATGCCAAGGCAAGGGCAGTTGGCAGGTGCGAAGCAAATGCACGCGCGCCATGTGCTAGACAGTTGGAAGTAGGCACTCGAGTCCGATTCCAAGGGACGACTTTCTGCAGTTCGAGGCACTTTTAAAGAGAAGCGGCGGCTAAGCTGAGCCTAAATGGACAGCTACCATGTGTGCTGGCTGTTCCTTGCAAGAGCTCAGGAAAACTCCAGCGCTGAACTTGCTACGCCCAATTCACTCTGTCCATTCTCCGGCTGGCTGCTCCATGCCGTCTAGCTTGGTGCATCGTCTCCGTCAGAGCAGGACGTGGACATGCTGTGCCCGCAGTGCAGCAGAAGTCCCTTTTGAACATGTATCTTCGTGAAAGTCGCCAGCTCCTTGCGTGAGGAGAAATGCTAGTTTGGACAGCACGCCGCTGAGCTTCATGCACGTGGGGCCACATCCCCATGCAGGTGCGACAAAGCAGGCCTCCCTTGGCTGGACAGATGATGTTGCAAGACAGTCATGTGAAAAAGGCAGCTTCCAAACTCCTGCTCGTGGGGCCGGCGGGAGCAAAACGGGACGAGTCCCCGCACCGGAAAAAATAACTGGATGCGGGAGCGCCCTAAACTTTCCCCAAGCCATCCTACACCCTACATCTGCCGCTTCCTGCGGTTTCCTCCCCCCAGCTGTTGCCTTGATCTTGCTTCTGCGACTGGCTCTTGGGATCTAATTCCGTTCTTCAACAGTCCAGCCATCAATCTTTGATGTCCAAGGTTGCAGTACATGTGGCATGTATCTTCGAAGAACCTTGTCGTGCTGCGGCCGGAGTTACTAACTGCTTGATGCGTGGTCGGGTCGTGAGTCATGATCAGCACCGCAGCTTAAGAAATGAAACTCTTGATTCATGCCGTTTCCCTAACGTTGTCTTTTGCCGGCATGAGAACAGCCGGCCGGGGTGCACATGCAATCTGCCTTTCAGATGTACCGATTCATACTTGGTGGAAAAGAGCGAACGAAGGGTGACCGTGGTGTTTGAATTGGAACGGCACGAGGCTGTCTTTCCCTGTGTGTTCCTCTCACGATGAGTGGCAGTTTTCGGTTACAGAAGTCTCTTGTGTCGTGCAGCCTTCGAGTTGTTATGTTTTGAGTCTGTCTGCTCTACATGTGGAGACTGTGTGCTAGATTTCGCTCGCGCTCTTCAACCTTGTGGAGCATCGCGATGAATCTGCAATAGATCTGAACGAGGACATCCCACAAGTGCCAGCTTTAAATACGCAGCTCATGGGTACTGTTGAGCCCGACTGCGCGCCTGCCGTTCTGAAATACTTGAGAGTTGGCTTTTACAGGACCAGGCTGGCTTCCTTCGACCCCTTCTTCCGGTCGTGGGTGCCTGGCGAGAGAAATGTGTCGACTCAGATGGCAAGCTGCTGCTATTGCTTCCAGGCAACTTTGTTGCAGACATACTGATCCCGTTTATGGAAGGCTGACAAGTAACAGTCAAAACCTCTTAAGCAGTTGACATGATGGCTGAGAGTTTCCCGAAGCGCTGACACAGTCCAAGCAGTGTCCCCAGGTTCTCAGATACCTCCTGGCACATCTTTGTGGGACGTGATGGCGACAGAGTTTGCTGCGTTCTTGGCAAGGAAGGTGCTCAGGGTCCGCCCGGAGGATGTTGAAGTTTCTCGACCGTTGGAAGAGTCACAGCTGCGCTTGACTCTTTTCCTTCGGGTCAACCAGCCGTTTTCCTGCTGGATTGCACTTCCAGGTTCGCCATCAGCGAGCGAAAGTGGAGAGGGTGTTTTTACGAGCTTAGCAGATCTTTCTACAATCAAAGGAGGCTGACGCGGCGGACGGCTTGCTGTTTCCGTTCCGATCTTTGATGCGGCGGGAGGCCAACGAGCAGATGAGCAGATTCGTGGTGCTCTGTGGCTTCGTGTGTCAGGCGCCTTGCTACAGTGCCATGGCGGTTCTTCGAGGCGATGCCTTCTCCAAGGCTTGGAGCCAGCGCTTCCGCTGCGACATACAGGTGCCGGGAATAAAGTCGCAAAATGTTGGATTTCAAGACTCTGGAGGGTCTGTGAAGTCAGGATGCGCGCTTGGTGCGCCACTTCGTGACTCGGACAGGAAGGCTTTGCAGAGCTTTGTATTCCGACGTACCTGGAGACGACGGCATCGTCCATTCGCAGGTCTGTTTCGATTTGTTACGCTGACGTGTGCCTGCGTTTGAGGTGAATGTTTTTATGCAAAAGCATGAAGTGACGGCTGCCACTGACGACGAGAAAGCACAGGCCGACGAGTTTCAGCCAGGTAAAACTCAGCATTTTTAGGACAGAGTCTGCTGAAGGTCTGCTACCGCGGACCGCAATTGTCGAACGGCGTGGATTTGGCCCTTCGGCATTGTCGACTCCAGGGCAAAGAGGTGAACTTTCAGGCAATGCCAATGTCACATACTTGTAGCTGCCTGAAGCTTGACAAGTGTCGTGGCTTGTTTGCTTCATCTCGGCAGGTACTATCCCGTTCTGCGACAGCGGAGGAAGCCTCTCGTTGTACGGTGTTACTGCATGCTGCTTCTGCAAAGCCCATTGGTGCGGAGCGCCTTTGCTGCACTCTGCTTGCATAGTATGTCCGGGCGAAGTTGCAGACAGGAACAACAGAGGAGAGATCCATCCAACCCTCCATCCTCTCAGCACGCCATGTTGGTTTGCAGAAAGGTGATCATTCGTAGTGTGAAAGCTGACTTGTGTGCCCCTGGCCCTGAACAGTGTGCATGAGCATGATCACTTCGGCCCTCGCCGTACAGGTCTTGACCCAGACATGGCAGCTGGCAGGTAAAACGGGTAGCCTGTTGCTAGCACGGCTTTGTGCTTTCATAGTGGCACCGGAGCCTGGATTTCGAGGAAAGGCGGTTTCTTGGCCATCGTCTTTTACCTCCCCTTTTGCGAGCTCTTCGTGGGCACGGCTGTCCGGGCCACACCGGCTTCTTGGGCCTTTGCCTGCGACTTTTGGGCGGAGTTGGCCGCCCGGCCTTTATTTTTTCCTTTGTGGTGGCGTTTTGCCACCCTTCTTGTGAAAGCAGCGATGGCCGAAGATGATAAGGGCACTTCGGCTTAGCACAAGGTGCCGACAAGGGACGGAAGCCCCGATTCATGGAGGTCTTTCCAAAGAGAGATGCAATGGTGGATGTGCTCCTTGGAAGAAGTTCAATTTGGCGGCGAGGTGGCTGAGGCAAAGCGGAGTGGTCCGCCAAAGGGGCGAGGATCTTCACGCCTAAGGAGCTGGAGCACAAAAAGGAGGTGCGGAGATAGTGTGGAGATCGTGGTGACTCCCGAGGACTCCTTCTCTGCGATTAATTTTTTCCGCTATGCCGCCCGCCTCGGCTGCTGAGGGGCAGAGGGCACGGTAGACACGCGCGGGAGGGGAGGGGGGTAGGAGAGGAGGGGGGGAGAAGGGGAAGGGCCCAAAAAACGCCAAGAAACACCAAAAAGTGAGGGGGGCAAGGCCGACAAGCGGAAGACATGGAGAAACTACTGCACCAACGGCCTCTTCAAATGTTACCTTGCCTCTGTTACCTTAACCAAGCTGGTCCAAGAGAGGAAGGGGCATGGGGGTAGGAAGATAGGGGCGAGGGTAGGAAAAAAAACCTGCAAGAAAAGGGAGGCAAGACGCTCGTGCAGCCAGGATCATCCAGGCAAGCTGTGTTTATGGTTTGTTGCATTCTTCAGTTTCCGTTTGAGTTCGAATGGAGCCAAGCAGGGGGGTGGG